GGAGCAGAGAAGAATCATCAAATGGAGGAAAGCAAGAGAAAGATGGTCAAAGAAAGCAGTTAAATTATGAGGAGGAGGAGATAAGCGAGATGGACTTGCAAATTCATCAGGCCACAGCTCTATCCACTGGTGAAATAGGACATACTAAGAGGAGAAAAGAATAAGATGAAATTCATCGAGAGCAAATAGAAAGCTGCTGGAGAGCTCACAGTTTCTGTATGGGATTGTGGCCTTTTTTCAGTGCCCCTTTTCTTTCCTGTTTCCCAAGCACATGAGCAGAAAGAAAAAGGGGTTTCTGTCCTACTGTTCTCTGAATTGTGAGAAATCAGCAATTCACACGGAGGCCAGCACAAAGAAACATGTTTGGGTGAGAAAGAGAAGTGATTAGCAGGTGCTATGTTTTCCTGCGGGCTTCATATTTGCCCCTATAAAAAACAGACCCATTGGAATCCAGTGAAGTGTTCTGCATTTTTTCTAGTGGTCTCTGGCTATTGCTTTAGCGCCTTTTTTTTTCCTAACTCTTGCTTCTCTTGATGAGCATTCAGTTGGAAGCATCTAATGTTGAAATCTTTGATACCTATGACCATCCCTAGAACCATTCCAAATCAGGGGTACAACTACACAAAGTGACAAAGAAGGTTTCTGAGACAGCTGTCCAGGCTATGCACTGAAAAGTGGTTAACAGAAGAAGTTTCAAATGAATTAGGATTAGGATATGTGAATAAATATGAGATATTCATATTTATTTAGAAAAATGGGCTAAAACATTGCAGTATTTGGCTGAAGTATTCCATTGCTTGCATTTGGGGGTTAAAAATAAAGATACGTAGAAGCTAGATATGCTTCATTTCAAAATATAAATTTAATCGAAAATTCCCTTACCTGATCTCAACAGAATTTTTTTTTAAGAATTCTCAAGAATAAAGCTGTTCCAGACAGTAAACCTGATTTCTTCTGCTAGCGCTCTCATCACTGGGTTTGTAAAGAGAGGAAGACCTGACACCAAAAGTCAGATTCCCTTGATCGATGTAGATCTCTAAAATATAGGAATCATCTTCTGCAGTTTCTTACACTCAGATCTCTTTAACGAACAGCGAGGGACATTTTTAGAGAGCAGTTTGTTTCATCCTTAGGGCAACATCTAAAACAGACCAGAGGAATCTTGTCCTGAAGATGTCCATGTTGGTTGTATAGGAGCTCCGGGCAGATTGTTCAGTGGTGAACACCTACGCTGTCCTTATCTTCAGGAAGGAGAGGTGGTGGCCACTCCAAATCCCAGCAGTTAATTTTCTTTATTCCAGGACATAACCTTCAACTCCATTAAATTCAAGGGAACCACAAATACATTTGACAGCAGAATCTGGCATATTATAAAAAATAAAAAAGTGCTTTGGAGCCAGAAACAGATGTTGGCCTGATCTGAAAAGGGCTGAGCTGTCGCACAGCTGGTGCTGCGTCACACTAGCCATAATAATATGAAGACTATGGCCATGTCACTTGATTTGCACCTGCTCTCAGCAGTAAGATCAAGTTTACAGGGAAATATATAAAGTCTAGCAGAAAGTTGTTCTCATTGTCAGAACTATATTTGCAGCCATATTTGACTTATCCATGAACTACATGACCAAACAAAAATTGGAAGTGCTTCTTTTGAGCTCTATTGAGCTTAAAATGTTCTGATTTCTTTTTTCAAAATTAGAGTATAGGAACATATTTTTATGGATTCATCAATTCTTATTTTCAAAAACATGATTTTCATAAGGGCCATAAATTTTAAGTCTCTCCATTGCATATGTCTGGTAACTCTCTTACACACAGTTTAGTTAAGGTTTTTATAGCTGTCATCAAAACTACACATCCATTACCACATCTATTTAGCTTAATTGCATAATTGGTTATGACTGCACCAATTCCCTAAAGAGACAACATTTAACTAAAAGTTTGAAGTAAGAAAAAGTGCTAGAAACCAAAATTTTCACTCTCTGTACTTGATCAAGAAGTCATTCTTGCAATGAGAGGTAGATTCAGAATAGCATTAAAGCAGTCATTATTGTTATGCTAGTCCACTCATGGCCAGACACTCAAATTTTTTCTACAGTTCCACATATTATTTTATTATTCAGGCACATTCAGATTTGTACAAGTATTGAAGCCCCTACACACTATATTGATCTTAGACATATAATGTTGATAGACCACTTTTCAATCACAAATTTATTCTCAGATTACTCATGATCTTTTTATCTATTGGATTCTCCCCTAATTCTTTGCACTTGTCATATTTTCAGAAGTCATTTGCTTACTCACGTAAATAGAGATCCAGGGAGGGATTTTGAGCCAAATAGAGGTTAAGATATTGCCTGTTCCTTGCAGGTTGTGGAGATGAAACAAGCAAGATATTGAGTTGTGCAGGATGTTGCAAATCCAACACAAGTAATACATGCAGTAGCCCAAAACCAAAACCAAAATAGATGGGCCCCCAAAAAATAAGCCATTTTGGATTTCAGATCCATAAAATTCTGGTCAAAGCTGTCCTAAAGATGTAATGACAGCTTTAAAATATGTGCAGCTCTTCCATGGACTAGGCAAAAGAGAAGGTAAAACCTGTGCTTGCTTATCTCTGCTCACTGCAATTCTGTGACTAAGCCAAGTGTTAGTCCACAGAAAAATTTTTAGTACCAGAGTCATCGGCTCTTTCCTTCAGCTGTCCTTGTCACTGCCACTTCTTCAATCCTTGCTGTTTAGATGCTTTTATAGGACAATAGAGACAAATAACCCTTTCTCCCCTTCCCTCTCACAGCAGAGCAAGGTGTCTAAAACAGGTCAGATGAACCACGTCTTCAAATAAGCACTTGCCTATTTGTCAGCAGCCATTGACGCTAATGGGCACTATCTCAGACATAAACGCTCACAACCAAGATTTCTGAAATCTGGTTAAATGAATCATTTTCTGCAGATCTGCATGGCATTGAAAAAAGTATTTTCTAGCTTACACATTGTATCCCTTCAAACAGGCTCCCCTCCATTTGTGTAGTACACAGTGGTTTAATCATCCATCCCAAAATTGACTTTCCGAGGTTGTTGAATAGCACAGCCATGTCTCCTCAGGGCTGGAGAGGGCAGGCAGTGCAGGAGCATCCTCTTCCAGCCTGGAGAGTGGATTGTTTCATCTCTAGGCGAATGGGATGTCCTGCGTTTCTTTTATCAACCCAAGACTTTCCAGAAAAAAAAATATATTAATCTGATGTACAAAGTCTAGGGTATTAATAACTCTAGGCTCTTAATTTTGCAAAGATTTAAAGTTAACCAAGTGATTACTAGATTGAATATTTACCAAAAACAAGGCAAAATCCATTTTCCATTTTTTCCACAATTTTCACATGTAATTTGCCTTGCCCTGAAAAGTTGTGTGCTCTCTTTCTTTTGTTAAAAAATGGTGTTTCTCATTAGCTGCTTCAGCAATAGATAATTTAGAGTTTGTCCTTACTGCTCTTCCTCTCTCCTAACATCTCCAGCATGTTTTTCTTTGCTTCTTCTTGGTCCTTAATTACAATATTTTTATGTGAAAAGCTTTCTTACACATTTCTAAGAAATTGTGTTGATAATAAATTATAAAAAGCATCCGTGTACAGATCAGATGCGTGTGGTGGGAGTCTGTTAAAGACTAAACAACCAAATTTTTGATGTCTACCTGTGAGCTATGTGTCTGAGTTGCCCCTGCATTCACTAGATGTCTGGTGAAGACCCTTAGTGGTGCCTAGGGAGTGACTCAGCTAACGAGTCCACTTGAGGGTAGAGCTGAGTGTCCCTCCTAGTAAATCCTACCCATAACACACAAGAAGGCAGCAGGCAATATCCTTCCCTGCACGTGCACGATTTGGTTTGCCAGGCAGAATAACGGAGCAAGGAGTCATGTGTGAGCAAGCACGTGAAATGAAGGTGACCCTGTCTATTTTGTAAAAACCCTGCTACGCTTCATGACACCCTTTCTTCTCTACTATCAGAATTGTTCTATTAAGCAAAATCCCAAGTGTAACTCATCCCAGAGATAAGTGCTAAACTAAGTAAAAATAGAATCATAGTTTCTTTGCTCAACTCAAATCATATTTAGAACCTGCCAGAGTCCTTATGTGGTGCCTAACATACAGCACTGACCCAGAAAGAGAAATGCACATGAATTTTTCATGCAGCACACTGAAGAATCCTCCCTCCAACTCCTCTTGCCCTCTCAGAGAAGACAATGCTGCATCAAGATTGTAAGCCTGGACCTAGCTTGTGTTCCATATAAGACATTTTTTTCTTGTAACAAATTCCTCTTCTTTATTTTGCTAAATGCCTTCCAGAGGCACCGCCACTCACTGGCTAACAGGAATGGAGTGAGGTCACGTACATAAAACATAGTGAAAATAACATTCCTGTTTAGGACAGGAGTGAGGGTCAGAAAACAGCTTGTACCTAGATATCAGACTGTGAATAAACTGGGCCATGCGGTTTATGCACAGAAGGATGATCAGTGAAAGCCTATTTAAGCCATGCGGTTTATGCACAGAAGAAGGATGATCAGTGAAAGCCTATTTATTCTAACAATAAACATTATTTAACTTAGCCTGTGGGTTTGCCCTGCAGCAACATATTAAGACCCGAATAATTGGGAAAGCAGAAGAATTGTTTCTTAAAATTCTACAATATCCTTGCGAACATCCTTGCTATTAAATCAAAAAATGAAGCCTTATTGCCATTGATATACAGCTATTCTATATCATTTTAAAAAAAGCCCAATTTCAGCACAGAGAAACATGTGGCTGGGGAGGAAGGAGAAGGGGAAAAAAAAGAGGTCTGGAAACCTCACAGTTGTTAGGGACTTTGGAATGGTTCAGGAGAGAGCATTGCCAGAAAGAAATGTTGAACCTATTCTGCCTCTATATGAAGCACTTTATCAAATTATACTATTTGAACTGTTGCTTGTCAGCTTCAATCTCTTCTCTTTCTTCTCTTATCAGGAGGCCAGGAGGACTGCATCCTTTCTTATGAACCTGTCACAAGGCAGGAAAGTAAGTCTCATCTGCTTTACTGCCACTAATGCTTAAATTTTTCATTTGACATTTTGGGTCCAGAAGAGACATAAGCGTTGTTGTGCTGTCCCCAGCTTCTCTGTGGCTCCTTTTTTCTTGGCTGCTTTGGCTATTGCATCAATGAGAAGTGTATGTGAGGGTCTCTCATGCTAGCTCCCATTTCCTAATGCAGCCAGGACTCTCCCCAACATGTTCTCATGGCCGTTATTAATAAATATATTAGTCTACAAAATACTGGTGCAGATTTTTTTAAGATTTACTGCATGATTGTTACTTATGAGGAATCTTTTATTGTCCTTTCCATTAGATACGTGGCTCAGCCAGGATAGGTCAACCTACAGCAGTGCAAACTCAAAATGTTCTCTGTTATGATAATACAGCCCCCCTGGTTTAATTGCTGTCATGTAACTGAGAAGAAAAAAAAATGGATCCTGTCTCCTTTCCATGCCTTATGACAGAGTCCATCTGAGAGCATTTAGGAGTAGCTTTTTTGAATAATAATGAATGTATCTACTACCAAATAATCCTTTGCCTACTTGTGCACAGACTAGCAGAGGGCCCTGAACTGTACATAATAAGGAATCTCAGTGCCCATTTCTGTATCCATGGCAATAAAAAAATTACTCTCCAATAAAACCTATACATCTGAGATTTCCCTTCGTGCATATAGTTAACTCAGGTTAGTGCATCTTTGGGAACATTTACTGTTATTTCCAGTAACACCATCAAAATATGCCTTTCTTTCTGTTGTTCAGTTAACTACACCAGACCAGTTATCATTCTGGGTCCTATGAAAGATCGGATCAATGATGATTTGATATCCGAATTCCCTGATAAGTTTGGGTCATGTGTACCACGTAAGTACTGTTTTATTCTTCATACTGCAGCCAAGGTAGATCCCTTGGTGAAACACATAATGTGAATTGCTGTGAAAGCCCTGCCCTTATGTAGCTGTGCTTCCCAAAAGCCATTTTTAGAACTGGATAGAAAGAGGACCTCTGCAGAGGCTGCGGTTTCAGTCCCATTGGAATTGTCATTCTTCTGAAACAAGGAGTGGATTCCA